CTCCTGCTTCTGGTCTGAGTAGCCTGGGGTATCTCCTCTGGGGGGTGGGCTATAATCATACCTCAGCTTCTGCCCTGTAAGGCTCGTCACCCTCCGGTGACCATGACTCCGGTATGACATGTCTCCATGAGGCTTGTAACACATGCGTAACGGTAGCCATGCCGTGGCTGTTCTCTTGGCTGGCTGGCCCATTGGATGGTCAAATGGTAAGCCGTGGTCGGTAGACTAGGTAGCCGTGGGTGGCTGGCACGTGGAGTCTGTGTGGTGGCCGTTTGGTTTCTTCACGGTTGGCTGGCTGGACAGCTTATCAGTCGTGGGAGGCAGGCCCATGGGGCCATACGGTGGCTGGCTGACTTTGTTGCCGTGGACGGCCTGTCCATGGATACCGTGCGGCTCCTGTCAGTATTGTTCTCTGTGCTAGCTAGCTACGTGACTGGTCCATGGGTTGACGACCGGGAGCAACGCCGTGGTCCGTGGGCTGACAGTGCGGCTGAGCTTGCAGCTCTTGTTCAGTCTGGCCCCTGGCCGTGGATGAAGATCTGGTAGTCTTTGCCAGAGCTATTGTCTCGATCTTAGCATTCATATTGGACAGCATAGCTTCTAGCATATCCTTCATCATCTCCAGCTGTTCTTTCAATAGCTGTTGTAGGAAACTCATGGCGAGTGCAGGAGATGATGGGGTCGCTGGAGAGGGAGGCGCTGGGGTAGACAGTGATTTATCAGTGGTGATCTTTTCAACTTTCTTCTTTGCCGCCTCTCTCCTGTTGGCCTTAGTCACTGCCACTGATATCTTGGAGAAGATCTCTTCAGATGTATGGATGCATTGATCACATCTCTTCTCCAAGGTGCAGGTCTTCCCTCTGCACTTAGTGCATTTTATATGAGGATCTCCTGTGATCATAAAACGACCACACTTCTTACACCCAGGGGTGTTAGGAGACTGCATGGCAACCTCACAAACCCAAGACCACCTATACTCACGTGCGTGTAGTCTCTTCCAGCAGCACTATTACTCGAAATCTATTATTTATTTATATGTCTGTTGTTATAGCAATCTTATTAGAATATTCTTAGGTTAATGTGACCTACTAACAGGTGCTAGATTGTCACTACTACTATAGTAGGTGTTGACTCAAGCACACACAGGAAAAAAGTGAGCGTGCTGTCATTATGACGTCATTGCTTGAGTAGTTACTAGACTACTTGGCGACAACTAGTTGTGTGTATTTGACAGTGAAGTCTGTTGAAAATCTGAAAATTTTAGTTAGTGTGATTGAAGCCAAAATACAGGATCTATGGCAGACATGTAATAGAGGTAGAAGTTTCGTAAGAATTAAGTACCATCTTTAAACGTCTTTTGGTATGACCCCAGGAATACGCTCTACCATTAGATACTATGCCACAGTTTAACATAAAGGCCCCACTGACTCCAAGCCGACCAGTCCTTGTTTAAGCCCCTTAATGCCTAGCTCCAGACAGAGTAACAAAAAGTACCATCTTTTAACGTCTTTTGGTATGACTCCGGGTGGAAGCTCTACCACTAGGCCAAGGAGGCAGTCCTATTCATACAAGAACTTAAAGCTTCAAAATGGACTAAGTTCAACCTTCAGTAACCTCAAAAACTAGGTTGCAGTTGAGGAAGTTCAAGCCAGTTGGCTGACGGCCAATTAGCCCCAGCATGGTCCTCCTTTAAAGTAATAAAGAAACAAACAAACATGTTCTCGAGTTGTTTATGTAGAAAAATGTATGTTTTGCAATAACACAAAGAAGTATCGACTCAGTGTATCCTCTCTGTTTGAAGCAAACTAAACATTCATACATTTGGAGGTGTTATTAGTGATCGGCAATACTAAAAGTAAATGTCTTACAACACAACAACTACCTCATTTGGTGACACAGTGTTATAATAAATTACTAAACGAGAATTGTGAAATCACAAGACGCACATCTCCTTTTCCACAAAGTTGAATCTGGAATGAATACACCCCTAACAAACACTGACATTTCACGTGGGGCCAATATTGCATATATTTGTGAAAAACAATAAATAAACAAAGTGACCATTCAAATAACACTGAGCAAATAATTCCTATCCAGTTCCAGCAACATGAGCAACCCTTCCAGATTGGCCACATAAATATTTTCTTTTTAATTCAAAGTAACAAAGCTGTTGGTTTCACCGAAGTGGTAAACATTCGAGACCTGCATCACTTCGGGCTTTCCTCAAACATTAAGCTGACACGCCCTGATATAACTGGAATAATGTTAAAAGCGGCGTTAAACCCAACTCACTCACTCACTTCTTTGACACAAAGGCTAAAAACAATAATAGTCTTGGTTCATCATAAAGTTCATCGCACTTTTTGTTATGATTTCTATTAACACCCCCCACACACACAAAAAAAATCCTTAAATATTCCAAGTTCAACAGTAGTCAAATACTGTATTTTACTCATCGAGAATACATTTATGTAGGAAAGTCCCTTCCCTGGTTGATGGTACACAACTGTTTATTTGGTTACATACTAGTTTGAACAACCAAACAAACAAAAAAGGCCACCACCCACACTATATCTTAAAAAAGCCATTGCCTGAGAACCAATTCTTATATTTTTAAAGCCTAAACTAAGACAGAGAATAGTAACACACATACATGAATATAAAATTAATAACAAAATTAACATTTGTCTCTAATCAATGGTACATGAATTTCTGTCATGATGACATACAGCCATTTGGTCCCACCAGGATACAGTCACAATAGTCTCATAAACAAACCACCACACGTACAACACTGGTCATACAGAGATAGACAACCTTGAATAGAATACACAAGTTATCCCCAGTGTCCTAGGGGAGACAACTCCTGCCTGCTTTCAGAGGGCAAGTGACTAAAGCATTAATATGGTTGCAACCATTAACTTGTTCAAACCATAAAAGGTTCCTTGTAAACAACTCATATGATAATGAAAAATAAAACAAGAGTTTGCCACTAAGGTGGCTATATCCCCCGCCCCTGTTGCAGAATTTATGATCTAATTAAATCTAAACAAACCCTAATCTTTTTTAACTGAGGTGGAACTTGTCATGGAAATTGTTAAAAAAGAAGAGTTTAGAACCTAAGTCTTGTTGCCATGGAAACGTAAAAAATACACATTTCTACAATTTGAAAAATAAAAATAATCACTTGTGACATTGGCCTTCTTTCAAGGTTTGAATTAATATTATGAATTAGCTGTATATATCAGTAAGCAACATATAGACTGGACTAGATATATATACAGAATCACCAGTTGTAAGAATGCCTCCTTCTCAAGCTTTCTAACATGTTGTGGCACTAGTACACACAAAAACTATGAATATTTACTTCTTCTCTTCATATCTGCAAATATTGTATAATTATTTGATTGATTATCATGAACTGATTGAAGAAACTCTTCTGCCATCAACATATAAATATTTCAGATTATCTTTCAAGTTTAGGCATTGATCGTATATGATCTTTGGTCAAACAAACATGTGGCTTGATAAACACCTCTTCGTTGTTGCTTTTACACACATCTTAACTCAGTGAATTATTCAGTGTCTGTCCAAAGACAATGTTTGATCAATTTATACATGAGCACTGAGAAAGTTTGCAAATGCAATTCTTGAAGAAACTTGTGATAGTTTCAAAATATATTCCTTAGCACAACAAAACAATATAATGTAAAAGCATCTCACAACACACAATAAATATAAAATATATAGTCTAACAGGAATATCACACCTAATGTAATTGCATATAGAACATCAAAAGAATTAACCACACATGGAGTTAAATTATAATATATATATGAACAGAAAAATGTTGATAGACTACTGATAAGAGAAGCTTGCAGAAGATTCGGTCATCTGACACAGGTTTTGTTTGTTTGTTTGATTGTTGTTTAACGCCTCACTCAGCAACACTCCAGCTATATGACAGCGGTCTGTAAATAATCGAGTCTGGACCAGACAATCCACTGATTGACATCAAAAGCATCGATCTACGCAATTGGGAAATGATGACATGCATCAATCAAGGCAGCGAGCCTGACCACCCGATCCAGTTAGTCGCCTTTTACGGCAAGCATGGTTGCTGAAGACCTATTCTACCCCGGATCTTCACAGGTAATTTGACAAAGGTGGTGGATATAGGACTTTATAACCATGTTCTTCTCACCACAAACAATAGAACAAAAGTCAAACTCTTTCGAACTATTTGAGAAATGCTCATCCATAGTATTAGGTGTTACTTCCTGCATCACTGTCCAGAATGAGTGAGTGAGTGAGTTGGGTTTAAGCCGCTTTAAACAGTATTCCAGTTATATCACTGTGTGTCAGCTTAATGTGGGAGGAAAGCCTGAAGTGATGCAGGTCTCAGACGTTTACCACTTTGGTGAAACCCACGAGCACGGGTATGGTGCTGACAAACCTAGAAACATAATCGGGGCGAACCGGGATTCGAACCCACAATCATAGGTTTCTGGCGTGCCCAAGGGAAGAAACTCTGCACAGCAAATCGCGGCGCCTTCGACGACTGGGCCACCTGTGCTCCCTAGTCCCTACAACAGTACTACAAAGCCTCACACACACACACACATCTTGTCACACTACTGTCTTCTATCAGGATAAGAAATGAGCATCATACTTGCAGCATGACTGGTTAATCTTGGCTCTTTTGGACAGTATTATGCAATCAAATTTAGCAGTTTTATTGTGATAGGCGGTAAGGCAAGGCTTGGTAGATATCAAACTGGGTAAACGCAAAACCTCGTAAATATCACATTTTGTAAAGCAACACAGATTTAAAAAATGAATCAATACACAGGTAGGTGTATTGTACACAGGTAGGTGTATTGTACACAGGAAGGTGTATTGTGTAATGTATTGTGTAAATTTGTGATGCATTGATACATCAGTGAATCGTGAAACCGTCACCATACCATCTCCTTTTACACTTACAGTTTTAGCTTTTATATTTCAACAACATGAGTATGTCATGTTTAACATTCATTCCTTTTTTCCCAAACCTGAAAACTTTTCCCCTTTTGTTTTTGAGTCTTACCAAAGGCCCAAGGGTCGACTTCCACGAAAGGAGCTAGCAAACCTATCACGTCAAATATACAGGAATCAAAACCTGCTTTTGGAAATAAAGTGGAAACAAGAAGGATTTGTATTTCCTAACACTACCTTTTACTTTCATAACAAAATATCTATAAAACATTTTCAACAAAAACAAATATACACTTTTCAATATAAAAAAGATATTAAATCAATATGTCATCAACATATTTCCATGAATATGACTTACAACTTCAGTGAAGGATACACCATCTTGAAATTCTCCAATCTCATAGAAATCAGATCTTTCAACAGAAACAACGCCTACAGTATCAGAGAGAAAGATGGGATTCCAGTGAGATTGGATGTTCTCATGACAAAGTTGAAAGACTCTGTAATAAAAAAACTTCCCTGTAAACCAAACTTGTGCCATTTCTGCCTTTATCAATATAAGCTGACAAACCTGAATGATTGAGTGAATTGGGTTTAATGCCACTTTGAACAGACGTATCACGTGTGTCAGCTTTATGTGGGAGGAAAGCCTGAAGTGGTGCAGGTATCACATGTTTACCACTTCGGTGAAACCAACTAGCACGGTTATGTGCTGACAAACCTGGAAACAATCGGGGCAAACCGGGATTCCAACCCACAATCACAGGTTTCTGGCATGTCCAAGGGACGTAACTCTGCACAGCGAATCGCATCACCTTAGACGAGTAGGCCAACCGGCCCCACAAACCTTATGAATGTTCTGATCAACTCATACACTGATTATGCTTAAGTTACATGTTCAAGTTATCCAAGACCAACTGTCTTCTTGTTTCACAGAATGTTTGGTAGAAAAATAAGAATATAACAAAAACATGGCCATTGTTTGCCATAAGGGGAATGGGTGGGGTGTTTCCATGAAAATGGACACAGTTCTATTTTTTTTAAATTCAAATTTAAAAATTTGATTTTTATTTAGAGACTGGTCATTAAATTAGGGAGGGAGGTTGTGAAAAACTGTTACATAAAATGCGGGGTTGTCTGCAAAACATGACACAATACAAAGACCACCACAACCCCAATCCACCTCTATAATAAATGACCAGTCCGAAAACCTATGCTGGTAAAATCTCTGATCGAAAACAATACAATCCGCGGCAATTGTCCGGTTTTCGATCATACTTTTCGGAGTGTTTTTTTTAAAAATTTATTAATTTTTTACGAGGAAGATGATTTTTTTCCGAGGACAACTGTTTTAAAAAACGCGATTTTCCGCGTTTCCGCGGAGATTTCACATCCCTGATAATAAATGACCAGTCCTTATAGACATATGAACACAAGCTGAAGTTGAGAACAACTACTGACAAGCACTAATAAGTCAGCATCAGAGGAGGACTCACCAACAATCCAGGGTGCTGTTGTTCAAAACAACCATCGCGCCACCACTGTCGTAAGTCTATGTTAAGGTATGGGAGTAACGACAACCTTAGCGCTAAGATCACTTTGTACACAGCACCCTGGAATAATCTCTGCCAGGTAGGTATGACCTGCTATTTACATCACAGACAGTTGATCGTCATGGAAGAAAAGGTGGGTCTCCAGGTACACCGATTCTCTGACTCAGTATAAGTGTATAAGTACAAGTCTTGTGCCATTTGTGAATAATCTGTTTTTAACAAACTGATAGAAATGTACATGGTAAATTTACCTCAATGAGTGAGTGATCTGAATATCTGAAAACCTAAGGATAAAAGATTGCTCCTATATGAAACTGTTGAATTGCCTCCTAAAATGTTTAATAGTCAGTAAAAAGTCCCAAGCACATTAAATAAAGGGAAAGCATATGTTCAAATCGTTGTTCCCTAACTGACGAGTACACACATTTAATAAACTAATATCATATATATACAATTCAGCCATTGGATAACAAGGTGCTGCCTTTGTAATCTTTCTGTGCAATAGACGATACTGTCGAATCTCTGATCAACAAACCTCCCTAGTTTTCATCCTTGACCTTGTTACACTTGGATCCTTAAAATACACTAACTGAGGTCACACTAGACTAACACATAGTCTATGTAAACATTTCTTTAAAATAATTGTTTTGTTTTTCTCTCTAAAAGAAACCCTTCCTCTTCTGTTTAGCTTGATCTCGGCTTGCCTAGGCTTTAGTAACATATTTATATCCCCCAGTCATGGCGCAGGACGAAGGTCACACTTGCGTAGGCCTGTCATGTTGATTGAATGAAGCAGTTTGAAGTGATTCATAGTACATGCAGTGAAAACCCTTCATCCAAATGATAGCGTTACGACTGAAATTGTCTGGATTAAAAAAGTTCTGTATTGACAAATCAAGATTAGAGTAATGTCCCTTTGCATACATGTCATCATTCCCAGCAGGAGTGTCTGGAATGTGGGCTCCGGAATGATGTGCCCGGACTAACTGCAGTCACTTTAATAGAGCAGTCACATGTACACACAGTAACAAATCGTCATACATATGTAGCAAACGTGAAGCTACCCTGTGGATCATATTAGTATTGCCTGCTTCACTCAGTCAACTACCTCAGTCGTCTGACATCTCAGTTGTCTGACATCTCACGTCTGACATCTCAGTCATCTGACATCTCACGTCTGACATCTCAGTCGTCTGACATCATGATTCAAATGGAAGACTTTACATCTTCACAATTAATAAAATATCCCTCATAGCACTGACAACATGAGTGATGCAAGGATGCTAAAGAATTGCCTCGTTTGATTGGCTAAAAGACACAAGCCGTCATGAGAAATGGATTATACGTTATTGATCCTACTTCTACCAGGCATCACCATAACAACTGCACCATACATTAACACAAAGACACACAGCAGTGACTCAGACAAAGAAATCAAAATTGATCATAAGGACTCTGTTGGGTAGAAAATAATTGACTCAAGTACCCGCGTTCGAAATTCAACCCGGACTCCAGTACCTGATTTAATTGGTATAATCACACACAACAGTGTTTAACACACCCACCTGCCCGACCACCCGAGATGTGCTGCTCAACTTATAAACCATGCAATCTTTGATGGTCGGGCTGATTTTGTTTGGTTTAGACTTTGTTAATAAAGTAGAGAATATGATCTTATATAGTGGCATTAAGGTAATAACCCAATACTAATACAGTAAACTGCAGTTGTAATGAACTCAAAGGGACTACTAATTTTAGCTCTCTATAATCATAATTTGTTATAAGCATATGTACAGCAAATGTCCAGAACTAAAAAATAAGTTTGTTATATCCGTCAGTTTGTTTAATTGTGTTAGTTTTAAATGTAGTTTACTGTATATTGAAGAAAGATAATTAGTCATTGCAGATCAATGATGCATAGCGAGCTGATGACAATTTATAGCGAGAGACATTGGTGAGTGAACTCATCACCGATTTCAGAAGTGAAAGATATGAGTTATCTCCCCTGTTCGAGAACTTGAGTCCATCTGTACTTAATCCATACTAAGTATCAGCCTTATTGATTACAATAATTTCGAACAGACAAGTGCCATTTTATTTTGTAGAGTCGATAATTTGAACACTCTCTTGACTTTCATTGATCTTGATGAACACCAAACATAGGTAAAGGATTAACACATACTTTTGATGGTTACACACCAAATAATAGGTCAATATTAACATATCATTTTGTGCTAATACACCAAACAATAGGTCAATATTAACATATAATTTTGATGGTTACACACCAAACAATAGGTCAATATTAACATATAATTTTGATGGTTACACACCAAACAATAGGTCAATATTAACACATACTTTTGATGGTTACACACCAAATAATAGGTAAATATTAACATAATTTTGATGGTTACACACCAAACAATAGGTCAATATTAACATAATTTTGATGGAGACACACCAAACAATAGGTAAATATTAACATAATTTTGATGGTTACACACCAAATAATAGGTAAATATTAACACATACTTTTGATGGTTATACACCAAATAATAGGTAAATATTAACATAATTTTGATGGTTACACACCAAATAATAGGTAAATATTAACACATACTTTTGATGGTTACACACCAAATAATAGGTAAATATTAACATAATTTTGATGGTTATTCACCAAACGCTAGGTAAATATTAACATAATTTTGATGGTTATACACCAAATAATAGGTAAATATTAACATAATTTTGATGGTTATACACCAAACGCTAGGTAAAGTATTAACACATAGTTTTGATGGTATATGAGACAAGTGACACAAAAATATAACATCGTCAACAAAGTAAAGATGTACTTCAAATATTTTCCTATTGGTCCAATAATATAAAAAGCAATAAAAGTAAATATTTACAAAGCTATAATCTGGCAAGCACTACTAAAACTTAATGGCAACCATTGATATGAGAATACTTGGTTAAATCTGTTCCCACGTCGTAGTATTGTAAATAGAGCAGCTTTGGCATGTTAAATGTTGATATATAAGATAGCTCTGCGATAAATCGCAACGAACAATGAAGAACGAGGTGTGGTTTATTTCATGATAAAACATTGTTCTATCATGACATCATTTCTGGAAATTCCAACATACGCTCGCAACTTGATGACATCCTAAATTGGATGATGCTATTTTTTAGAGGGTTTTTACATAAAGGATCTTTACCAATTTTTCATTGTTTTGATTATTTTAACTGTCATTTTTCATCATTTTGATGAGTGTGAGAAAAGTCAGAAAATACTAAACTCCCCCCCCCCAATTCATAACATGGACTTGTCCAACATTGCTGAGATGGAATTGTATGCAGGGAGTCATCATTGTTTATATACGGTTGAATATTTTTCAAAGCTTCTAAATTGTATAAACATCCTTTAAGAGGTTGTAAATATTGTTGATATCCCATATAAGCAATAAATGACTCATGGTCATTTTTTATCATACTATAAAACACTGCAGGGAGAATAAACCACATGGGGCTGCGTCTGTACAATAAAACACTGCAGGAGAAGAATACACCTCAAGGGGTGCAGCTTCCAGCAGTGTTTTCTTGTACAATAAACAGCTCCCCCTCAGCATGTAGGAAATGAACTGTGTCCCTTGTCCCGTTCAACTGTCAGAGTAGTAGCCATGGATGTTGTCTTTGGGATCTTGAGGGAGGATGGTGTAGATGTCGCCGTACAATCGTTTATATGACCGTGAGAAGTAGAAGAGGAGAAACCCCCATTTCCATGTCATAAAGCACCATATTGACGTCAGGTAGTAGCCGTTGCCGTAGACGATCAGACCTGAACATACAAACAAACCAAACTTGATGACGAAAACTGGAGGCGACAAGGACACATTATTATATTTTTATGTTAATTTTACAGACTTTGTTAGAAGCTGTGTCTAGGGTTAGTCAAATGAACAAAAAATTAATAACACATTAACATGTATTTTTTCTTGCCACACATAGCTGTGGAATATCTTTTCAATTGTCTGACAATGACGCAATGACTTCCAAGTAAGTTTCAGAGTGTGGTTCATGATTTATTTTCATTCAGTTTATCAGAACATTTAATGTTGTTGTTTTTCACATTATTAAAAGAAAAAATGATTGTTCTGGTATTACAAAATAAATTCGTAAATGTAGTTTTCCTATTTCCAGTGGCATATTCTTACCATGGAAGGCTCATCTGTACACCTAACCATTAACCCACCGTTGTGCTGAGGGCAGGCAAACATGTCTGCCCTTACAACACCATTCGTCACCACTAGCCCCTGTCCGTAACCTGCAAGAAGACTCGTCCCCCTATCGATGAATGTTATGTGTGAAAATACGACAAACCAATCAGAATGCGCATATGATTTCAAGTTCTTTGTCAAAGAATCCCTCAGAAATAATATTTGAATTTACATGTCTTGCATCTAAAAATATACCCATGACACAGTTAAATGTGTTCAAACATACTGTATAATTCTGCATGTCCAGATGTGCTTTAAATTGCATCTGAAATATATTTAATATACGGGGAAATGTGTGTGAACCATTAAACAACGAGTTGACAATTGGTTTAGGTATGCCCGTTTGCGCTAAGACGGAACCCGGTCGCAAAAATTGCCACAAGTTGCTATTCGGCTTGTCCCGGAATAACACAAGCTGGTCACGAATGTTACAACACAGCATCAAGAGGGATTATTCTCAATGAAGATAAAATACATTATTAGTAATTTGTTACATAATTACATTCACAGCATAAAAAAACCATAAGGAATACAAACTGTAAAGGTACATAATATCAAATACTTATTGTTGCTAATCTTGTCTTTCACACTGAAATATTTTTTAGAAGAATTACACGAACCAATCTCATTTAAATCAGGTGTTACTGCCACACAAGCAGCAGCATGAAGGAATCATCGGCATGACCTGTTCTTAATTTCAACACATGGAGTCAGCACCAAAAAGTAACTATTCATTGGCAGGGAAGTCACGACTGTTGTCTCATGCAGGATTTTTATATTATCTGATAACAATCATCGTTCCCAAGATAAGATCAAGCCCAGCAATGTTGTCTGCAATTTTTGTTATTCTATTTTTCCTTTGAAGACACAGGTTGCCAAATACCAACAGTGGAAGTTGAAGGTTATTATACACTGTATGGTAAAACAAGGAAAGAATATTTGCATCAATAATAAAATGCCTTAAACAATGCAACAAATAAATTTCTTTTAGGAGGACAAGTGCCGTAGTGATCTCAGACACAATCTCTTGTAATGGCTAGAATATAAACAATTTCCCCATGACTTACATTCCAACTTGTCACATAAGGCATAAACTAAGTATTCATCTGATGTGATATATATAGTACTCTTTGCACTTACTAAGTATTCAACTGATGTGATATATATAGTACTCTTTGCACTTACTAAGCATTCACCTGATGTGATATATATAGTACTCTTGATACTTACTAAGTATTAACCTGATGTGATATATATAGTACTCTTTGCACTTACTAAGCATTCACCTGATGTGATATATATAGTACTCTTTGTACTTACTAAGCTTTCACCTGATGTGATATATATAGTACTCTTTGCACTTACTAAGCTTTCATCTGATGTGATATATATAGTACTCTTTGCACTTACTAAGCTTTCATCTGATGTGATATATATAGTACTCTTTGCACTTACCTGCTTACTAAGCTTTCATCTGATGTGATATATATAGTACTCTTTGCACTTACTAAGCTTTCATCTGATGTGATATATATAGTACTCTTTGCACTTACTAAGCTTTCATCTGATGTGATATATATAGTACTCTTTGCACTTACTAAGCTTTCATCTGATGTGATATATATAGTACTCTTTGTACTTACTAAGTATTCATCTGATGTGATATATATAGTACTCTTTTTACTTACTAAGCATTCACCTGATGTTATATATATAGTACTCCTTGTACTTACTAAGCTTTCACCTGATGTTATATATAAAGTACTCTTTGTACTTACTAAGTATTCATCTGATGTGATATATATAGTACTCTTTTTACTTACTAAGCATTCACCTGATGTTATATATATAGTACTCCTTGTACTTACTAAGCTTTCACCTGATGTTATATATAAAGTACTCTTTGTACTTACTAAGTATTCATCTGATGTGATATATATAGTACTCTTTGTACTTACTAAGCATTCACCTGATGTGATATATATAGTACTATTTGCACTTACTAAGTATTCATCTGATGTGATATATATAGTACTCTTTGCACTTACTAAGCTTTCAACTGATGTGATATATATAGTACTATTTGCACTTACTAAGTATTCACCTGATGTGATATATATAGTACTCTTTGCACTTACTAAGCTTTCAACTGATGTGATATATATAGTACTATTTGCACTTACTAAGTATTCATCTGATGTGATATATATAGTACTATTTGCACTTACTAAGCTTTCACCTGATGTGATATATATAGTACTCTTTGCACTTACTAAGCATTCACCTGATGTGATATATATAGTACTCTTTGCACTTACTAAGCATTCAACTGATGTGATATATATAGTACTCTTTGCACTTACTAAGTATTCATCTGATGTGATATATATAGTACTCTTTGCACTTACTAAGCATTCACCTGATGTGATATATATAGTACTCTTTGCACTTACTAAGTATTCACCTGATGTGATATATATAGTACTATTTGCACTTACTAAGTATTCATCTGATGTGATATATATAGTACTCTTTGCACTTACTAAGCATTCACCTGATGTTATATATATAGTACTCCTTGTACTTACTAAGCTTTCACCTGATGTTATATATAAAGTACTCTTTGTACTTACTAAGTATTCATCTGATGTGATATATATAGTACTCTTTGTACTTACTAAGTATTCAACCTGATGTGATATATATATAGTACTCTTTGCACTTACTAAATATTCACCTGATGTGATATATATAGTACTATTTGCACTTACTAAGTATTCACCTGATGTGATATATATATAGTACTCTTTGCACTGACTAAGTATTCACCTGATGTGATATATATAGTACTATTTGCACTTACTAAGTATTCAACTGATGTGATATATATAGTACTATTTGCACTTACTAAGTATTCAACTGATGTGATATATATAGTACTATTTGCACTTACTAAGTATTCATCTGATGTGATATATATAGTACTCTTTGCACTTACTAAGCTTTCACCTGATGTGATATATATAGTACTATTTGCACTTACTAAGTATTCACCTGATGTGATATATATAGTACTCTTTGCACTTACTAAGTATTCACCTGATGTGATATATATAGTACTCTTTGCACTTACTAAATATTCCCCTGATGTGATATATATAGTACTCTTTGCACTGACTAAGTATTCACCTGATGTGATATATATAGTACTCTTTGCACTGACTAAGTATTCACCTGATGTGATATATATAGTACTCTTTGCACTTACTAAGTATTCATCTGATGTGATATATAAAGTACTATTTGCACTGACTAAGTATTCACCTGATGTGATATATATAGTACTCTTTGCACTGACTAAGTATTCACCTGATGTGATATATATAGTACTCTTTGCACTGACTAAGTATTCACCTGATGTGATATATATAGTACTCTTTGCACTGACTAAGTATTCACCTGATGTGATATATATAGTACTCTTTGCACTTACTAAGTATTCATCTGATGTGATATATAAAGTACTATTTGCACTGACTAAGTATTCACCTGATGTGATATATATAGTACTATTTGCACTGACTAAGTATTCACCTGATGTGATATATTTTGTACTATTTGCACTTACTAAGTATTCACCTGATGAAGGAGCAGGAAGTAATTCTGAAAGCTTGTACAAAGAATAAAAGAAGTTGCTAACCATAAAAAAGTATTATGAATTCTTGTATTCTTGGACAAAGGTATTACCACTACTGGTATATAAGTGAATGCCTTCTTACCCTGCCCCATGGTGACAGCCAATGTGATGTAGGCCACAAAGCCACAGACCCCCGCCAGTTGTATGAAGCATCCTAACAACATCCAGTACTTGAGTCTGTAGGGAAATGTCTGCCATACCTTCCTGGTGTACTGAATGTGGACAAACAGAGCCAATGCTGCTGCTATGCCTGTAAGCAGAGGAATGTGTCAGAGAGCTGGCTGGACCACACAATTTTAATTTTTATGTTTCACAGATTTATTCCAGCTTTTCCACACAAAGTCGGTCGAAGTAAAAATAAAAATAACTAACTATGTCAATCATTATATATATTTATGAAAGTCTTACTGTCGTGGAGTTAAAATTACAGCTGGCTTCTTGAATCACTGATAGTGAAGTAGACATTTTATGTTGAATAAGAGGGTCTATATTACTATTATTTACTAACAAAATAAAAATAAATATTTTTATTATTAATTTATTTCTTTTCCAGCTGCTTTGGGCCTATGAAACGAAAAATAAAAAATGTGTGGCCCTGCTTTCAAAAGTTTGGTAATCATATCATTGCATGACTGCTTAATGTGGGAGGAAAGTTCAAAGTACAATGTACATACATGTTTCAAAATGTGTAAGGCTTTTAAGTCAACAAAGAGAGATATGACACCAGTCATCAGGGATAACATGTTGATAAATATTCGTACCAAGACACCTTCTAGTCATATAACAACTGGACTGAACCTGATATTGTAACAATGCAGGTTGTAGCAAATGTAGCCTGCCTGTTTCACCATTTGAAAACATAGCTGTACACCTGTAGCCAACTTAAACTTGCTGACTTGCTGTCTGCTGTATAGGTATGTAACCTATACCTAATAAGTATACCACAAGACGTGCTAATCAATGTATAACTCTGTAATGTCATATACTGAATTGAATACAAAACTTCTTTTTTTTAAACAGAAAAACAAAAAACAATTCAGCTTTTAGATAATTACCACTTTGGTGATACAAATGTACCTGCAAACACCAATGTGGTGCTGAGAAACAGGATGACAATCATGCCTCAACTCTGACAAGCAAATTGTGGTGCAAATTGTGGTGCCATGTGGGAATATAGTTGGGGACACATGGGGACACATTCATAACTTTTGGCAGACCTGTTCACAATGATATTGGGCAACCCATTCACAGTGATAATATGGTACATTTATACATTGGCTACTTTGTACACACGCTAAAACTGATAATTTTCTTATTCATTTTATACATTACTGAAGCTAAGTTATCATTAAACACCTATCTCGACAATATGAACACCACCATATATTTAAATTATCACCATTAAAACTATTTTGAAAATGTGACAACAGTGCTTTTGAATGGTTGTCTAAGATTATTTATATTTCATAGAGTAAACTAAATTGTTGGTGAAAAATGTCTGGAATGACCGAGTTGGCTAGTTCCTGGCCTTCGGCCCTTGTCTCAGACTTTGAGCTGTGGGGCATGACCAAAAGAGGTAATGTGGTAGTGTCACTAACTAGTTCCCTACAAATGGACCCACTCGAGGAATAACAAATAAGCTAGGCTGGTTTGGCTGGGACTAGGAAGTGAGTAAAGTCTTCTTTTTTTTATAAAAAGCTCCATTCCCACAAAACACTTTTAGAAGTCTCAATGGACTGTTATCTTTGAGAGATATAACACGTGAAAATTTCAGCATCTGAGAACACAGGCCATGTCAACTAGGTATTCAAGGTATTCCAGTGTAACAAGATGAGTTGTTATTCTTTTGGGGCGGGGTAATTTTTAACCTTATAATTATTCATCGTTCAGTTACCAAAACAAACATGAAGGGGTCATGGGTGACGTTTGAATATGAAAGTATTGCTAATCCGATTGATTGATTAGTTCAAACAACGAACACTGCTTACATTTATATTCGCCCATATTGCGTAGTCATTTTGTTGACATATTTTACCCCGACGGAGTTCAAAATATGTAACGAAATACTGGGGCGATGACAACCTACATACCCGACAGCAAACCCCACAATGACGTGTTCCAGTTCTTGTAGTGAAGTCCAAATGTCAAAAATATGGATACACCGAACACAATTCCAATAATGCTAAAACTAAATCTTGCTTTGATGCCACATTCGCTGGGGGCGGCCATCTTGAGTAATGGGAACTTATAATGTACTATTTACCTAGCAACATACTTGAAGGATATTTTCTTGCCCGAAATCTACATCAAAGCAGTCTGATATATACGTTTGTAGGAGAGTTTTAGGAGAGAGTAAGATCAGCATGTGGCTACTTGATTCATAAATATTATGTAAGTGTTTGGGACAAATTGTCACACATTGTATATGTACAGCTTGGGATGAATACAAGTATGTATACGTGTACAGTTTTCCACATCAAACTTTACAGCCAACGTATAACAATTTATAGCCTGTAGCAATAGGCACGTAACTACAATATGTTGATACAGAATATTTATAGTCAGTAATACCGAGGCTTTGTATGCAATTCCGATTTTGTAATTTAACAAATATGCATCCATCCATCAAAGCAAAGAAACATTAACATACCATTGTCACAATTATTCTATTTGATATGGTGAAGTTTCTTCTGTGAACATTGTGTGGCTAGATACGTGTATGGGGTGGCGGAGTAGACAGGCCAGTCTGTCTTACAGACCCTGATACAAATATATATCAAATACAGACCATGCAAGTCTATAATGTTTGGCAAGTCTAGATCACTGCAGTATCATGAAAATGAAGAGAGTCACTGGGCTCCTTTTTATTATATTTTTATTAAGATAACTGAACAACTGTTTTTTTTATGTACGATATGTTCATTTCAGACACTAGATTTTAGTCTATAGACAGACTAGCGGTTAAAGTAGCTTGTCACGCCGACATTCAAGGTCCGACCTCCCACATGCTTGGTACAGTTTTGAAACCCATTTCATATGAAATCAGCTTAGGGAAAAGTATTTTGTAAGAGTCAAGAAGGGTATTGAGTAATATAAGATTTCATAGAGTAAATGTTAGTCTAGATGTTTCATATACACAAGGACATTAATCCTACCGGTATTAACCCCCCGTTACCGTCGTAATTAAATTGATTAACCCTAAGAAAGAACCACGCTGTAATGAGATAATTATTTATTAAGTTTGTATAAAGTTTCCATTTAATATTCATGATGACGAATTACATATTCGCGACAGTTATACTTACTTACGTATAAAATTTCAAAGAAATCTAAAATGTATCCAAGCCATAGTATCTCAAAGGAACAAGGAACAAAGTTATGTGTTATTTTGTTATCCAAGGTAAGACAATTAAACCTGCCTTTTATTGTGTTTGTATTGCTTTGATCATGTGGTTGTCCCGATTCTCCTATATTGTTGCGAAGTCGGGGGGTGATTTATTATATACCGTATATTTCCTCTAATAAGCGCCGGATGCCCAAATCGGCGCCGACCTCGGACAAGCACAGGTTCCAAACGACACAATGAACGCCGGGTCTCTAACAAGTGCCGGATATTTTAGATTCAAATTACTTCTACCTGGAATAAATAAAAGCTTAGCAACGAAGGGTCACGTTTAACAGTTATTTGGTTCATACTCCAGGGCCCACTTTGCACAAAGCGCTCGTAGCGCTAAGACTATTGTAAGCCTATGTTAAAGTATGGGAGTTGCGATCATCTTAGCGCTACGAGCGCTTTGTGCAAGTGGGTCCTGGGGCGCAACTTGACTAATTTGAACTGTAAACAAAACTAAATTTGCGAGGGCCCGCCCGAAATTTGTAAAACGTCATGCTCTTAAACGCTATTTCCTGCATATTTTTCCCGTTTATGTTATATCTTATTTGTAACAAATATTGGTAATGTATTTATAAAAATGTTTTATTAGACAAAGTAATAAAACCTAAAACCAAGAACCTAAAATTATATTGTAGATGATATAAAGGCACGGGGCATTTCTTGCTGGAGCGTCCCCATTCAATCTGACAGCATTATGTCGGTAAGGAACATATGATTTTGTACAGAAGAGAATCTATCCAATCAGCCTAAATCTTCAATTTAGAATTGTTTCATAAGCCTATCTTACGGCTATACATCGATACAGATACTATCGCGTTACTAACTTTGCGTCGGTTTTGCGTGAAATTCGTCAAATTCGACGTGACCCTGATAATGAGTTCGCCGTTGTGCAATCTGTCTCGCATGATTGGTTCATCTTGACAAAACGCATGATTGGTTCATCTTGACAAAACGCATGATTGGTTCATCTTGACAAAACGCATGATTGTCTCATCTTGACAAAACGCATGATTGGTTCATCTAGACAAAACGCATGATTGGTTCATCTGGACAAAACGCTTGACTGGTTCATCTAGACAAAACGCATGATTGGTTAATCTAGACAAAACGCATGACTGGTTCATCTAGACAAAACGCATGATTGGTTCATCTAGACAAAACGCATGATTGGTTCATCTAGACAAAACGCATGATTGGTTCATCTAGACAAAAAAACATGATTCGTTTATCCAGACGTAGGATGGATTGGTATAGGCAACAAACATGACTGGTTAATATAGGTATCACACATGATTGGTTAATATTCGGCAACAAGCTTGATTGGTTGGACAAAAGACAGGATTGATTGATCTAGGCAACAGGCCAAGTGGTTGCTTTATGCCGGCCGTAAGTTCAACTTTGTCCAAATCCAGGGAGTCCTCTGTGTGTGTGTGTGTGTGTGTGTGTGTGTGTGTGTGTGTGTGTGTGTGTGTGTGTGTGTGTGCGTGCGGTTATTGCAACAAACAGCCTCCCCACCGTGGGTGTTCTTTACACTTGTTTGGGGTAATATTTACGATATAACACCCTCGAAAATGACAGACGATATTCTAAAAATACTTTCAAAATAGTACTTATCTCAGTGGAGATCAGGCGAGAGCCTAAATGTGCTTTGCAAAAACGCCGGTTAAAACAAGAAACAACCAATGCTTCATCGTGGGTGTCGGGAGATGCCTTTTCCAGGTATTACGATAAAGACCTCGTTTGTACACCAGATCGACATCACTGCATTATCTTGGGTGTCGGGAGATGGGCTAAAATAAAGATAAAGAGAAAAAAGAAAGTACTATATAAAGAGCTTGTTAGTTTATCTGATCAACATTACACCTATATACATAAACACTTTACTGAAATTAATTATCAACCACAATTATATCGTTATAAGATGAAATGTATTGCTCTTCCTCGTGCAACGAGATCATATGCAGTGCCACTACGTTTCAACATTTGGAGAGAGTTGTCAAGATAGTAGAATATTGTGGCGCATGCTCTACTTCCGCTAGCAAGAAGCACCGCCGGAATCAATCAATTCAAGTTTCTCTTTCTGTTTTTCCCATTATCTCGTTACAATGGACAGCACCAAACAAGACGAATCTTCGTTTACTTATGGGGGCACCGGAGGTTTGTTTTCATATAGACCGTTGTTATTTGCACAGGAGTTTAGGGGAAAGATAAAGTCAGACAGCTAGAACAGTATCCATTCCTTGGTCTTGCATTCATACACAAATTGATGCAAATAAGTTTCGATTTTACATGATCAAAGACTTGACAGAAATTAATGAATTTGTTTGCACAGTATTTCTTTTTATCTTCCATGATAGTCATCTGTGTAGGTGCTATATATAATATAGGATCTGTGTATTTATTGACGTCAGTAGAGGTAAAGAGGATAAGATTGTATAAGCTCCTTAATCTGTTTAGAGAATTGAACATTTTATGTAACGGTGAGAAGTGTAAGATGAACATAGTTTATTTGGATGAGTACCATATTAAGTACTGAAATGAGATTGTTTAATTTATCCCAACCCTTCCATAATAGGTCGAGGGTCATATATAATCAAATGTTCCTCTAAAAATCTGAAAAGCTATCGCACATTTCTGCTCTAGGCCCCAATAACCCTTAAGAATCTCTGTGACATTTCCCACAAAATATTATTTTGCTAGGAGGTTAGTTTTATGTTCCGAGTTCAACAAAATTGAACTTGTTTCAATGATAATCTTCTGAGTTTCTGTTACTCACTGAATACCTCTGTTACCAGTAACCATGGTGATAGTACTGGTATACTTGTTTTGGATGATGTTATGGGCATGTGGAAGTGAGTAGTTACACATCCAGGATACAGATTCTTACATTCACAAGTTGGAAGACACTAACTGTTCTAATTCATCATGGCGTCATTTATATCATTTTGGAATGAAGGTTGAAATTATTATGTACAAAAACAAGTTTTATCTATTAGCTTTCTAGTGTAAGTTTAACTTAATTGAGTTATTCAATGATATAACATTTAGGCCAATATTTAATATTTCATCATATTTATGAATCCCTTACAATTTATTATTCAATGTCTTCAAACTTCAATGAATGTATTTATGTATTGGTAATGGTTCACTCTGTGTTTTATAATTTTATAACGAGATGACCTACACTAAAAACTGGACCAAGAATCACACTCTCTCTTTGATAAGTTATTTGTTTACCAAATTAAATTATAACTGGAATGTAGGTTGATGAATAAAAACATAGACATAGCTGTTTTGTTACATGCATCTGTACCAAATTTATGATTGTAGATTCTCCAGTGATGTTTTTTTAATGTTTCTGCTCAGGAAATAGTGGTTCTATTGAACATTTGGAATAGTAAAATTGCAGCCTTGAAAACATTTTTTCTGAAATAGCTTTGAATGCAGGGGGGATTCGAGACTAACATTTAGTCTCTGAAATCTTATATTACACAATATCCTTCTTGACTCTAAAAATAAAAAAAATTCCCTATGCTGATTTCAGAATAGAGCTAACTTGAGCTGGCTAGACTTGCTTTTGTATGCACTTCTAGATTATTATTTTTTCAATAAATAAATATAATTCACAGTCATGGTGCAGGACTAGGGGGATTCTTGAACCGTAGAATACTGTTGCAGGTGAATGTATACATGTGAATGTCTATCGTTTCCCATTATTCTGAAGTTGAAGATTTTTACTATACAATCAATCAACCAACCTGTAGACAACCCAGAGTGCTATCATGCTAGTGTTATTACAAGACTCACTACCACGGGCTTCTGTACAATCAATATTCCCTTTGTGCCCAGTCACTTAAGACAAGTTGTTGTGTTTGTTGTTGTAATGACTTAATCTGTTCATCATGGTTCCCTGTTTATCCGTCAGCCTGTTGGGATTCCAGATTGGAATTGGTTCCCAGCAACCTATGCTTGTTGTTAGAGGCGACTTAATGGATTGGGTGGTCAGCCTTGATTGCATGTTAACCTACCCCGATGTACCCCAGATTTGATTACTTACAGGCCGCTGTCATATAGCTGGAATATTGCTGAGTACAGCATTAAACAACAAAGCAATAAATCATAGCCATTGACTTGATGGAGGTGAAAGGACACAGTGAAGCTTTGCCCCTATTGAAGTCATGTCTTCAGTCCACAGACGATGTTCATCTTTGTTCACAATATCAATCACTGGATTGTCGGTCCAGACTTAATTATTTACAGTCAGCGGTTATATAGTTGGAATATTCCTAAATTTAGCTTGAACAACAAGCAAACATACAAGCCTACACACAACCCAAAGGGTAATTGGTTTGGTTGCTTTGTTGTTTTACGCTGCACTCAGCAATATTCCAGCTATATGACAGCGGTCTGTAAATAATCGGGTCTGGACCAGACAATCAAGTGATTAATATCATGAGCATCGATCCACGCAATTGGGATCGATGACATGCATCAACCAAGTTAGCGAGCCTGATCCCGATCCCGTTAGTCGCCTTTTACGACAAGCATAGTTGCCTTTTACGGCAAGTATGGGTTGCTGAAGACCTATTCTGCCCCGGATCTTCACGGGTAATAGATACAGGTGTGATTTCCCACATGGGTGAACCAGTTCTTGGTGTTCCCTGTCATGTGGCTGTAACAATGTTAAATATAACTTAGGACCCAGCTCACACATAAATTCTATGCAAATTAGCGCCTTTGAGGAAATATTGCTTGTTATCAAGTTGTTGCAATACAAAGGATTGTCTCCCTTTGACTAAACTTGAATTCAAAATCTGCCTTGAACATAGTGAACCATTCTTTCGTTATGGTGTTCTTACTCGTCTAATAACATCCAAAACATGTATACATACCTACATCTCGGCCAATAATGCTGGATCTGTTGAGAAGTGAAATTTCCAATGAATAATGTTGGATAATCTTAGAATTAAGAAAGTGTTTATTTTTATTTGTTTGGATAATTTCAATATCATTTACAGACCTTATAATACTTTTTGTTTACAATATCAGAGTGAATGTTTAAAGTTGTAACATGAGAGATTGTGAGCAAAGCATTAGTGGCAGTGGATGCTATTTTACAAGCTATGACCTATCCATTTTCCGAGCCATTCTTCTCTGAATTTTCTTTTTGATATTCTTCATTGCAGTCACACTTACTGATAACTCACATAACATGTAATCAGTGGTAATAATATATGATATAACAACATTCACAAAAAAATATTTTTTTCCGCTGTTTATAGAGCGTAACCACAGCTTGTTATATTTTGACCCTCTTGTTTTTTTTGTTTTTTTTGTGACATGTTCACATTGTATTATCGAGATTAAATTAATTTTTGTTATTTCTTGAGCTTTCACTAGTGTTCAGGGGTGACAACTTTATACTGTTCTGCATCTTCCTGAGCCAAGGGAGTTAACTGACTGTTAAAGTCCAGTTTCCACCCTTGCTGAACTAGGCTGGAATTTCTGGGCTCCTCAGTGGCATGGCGCCACCAGTGGCTATTACGAGTTATGTCCCTTCTATGTCCCTCCTACTGACCAATCACTTTCCACCTCTCATATCACTCCCTTTGCTTCAAACAAAATGGCTGTGCTCAGTGAAGACGATCTTATCGATAATCAAGAACTTTATTGTAATAAAATGGGTCTTACTTCGCGAAGTGGATGTGAGCACCTTGTTTAAAAACATGCAAAGATTTGGAAAATATTGGTTGACGGTACGCATGCTTTGCAAATCCTGCAGTTGACCAAAATCTGCACAGCAGTTTACGAACCAGATGTCGATATTGTTATTGGTTTTGATTGGGTTATGCATAGACTCGTTAGTCCAGCCAAAATATAATTCCATAATTCCAGCCGAGTTTGGCAAGGGTTGAAACTGGACTTGTATAGTCAGTAATTCCCTTGCCTTGGGAAGATGACTGTTCTCTGGAAAAGCAGACCAGCTGCAACCTGCATCATCAATGTCCCGGTGTGTAAGGCATTTGTGTTGACAAGCGTAAACATGTCTTTGTTTCTTTTTCACGGAATTTTTCGGCTGATGTCATTCACATGATATAGGCTTTCATCAGCTTAGCTAACAAAACAGAATGAATTTGTACTAGACTCAGGCAGTGTCCGAAATAACTGCCTGCCCGTCTGCCTGTCTGCCCGTGGCTGGTAACTTTTCTGTCGGGCTGCATGAAATTTTCCTCCACCTGCCTGACTGTCTGGCAGATATTTTTAAGACTACTTATGTATTCAGTTTTATTATAACTCCTTGTAGATTCTCAAGTGATTGTTTACATTATTTCAACTGAATAAAGTCATGATTTGTCTCTTATTTTTAAAGAATGTCTGAACGCGGGCAGGTAACTGTGTAGATGGGCAGGCTGGGTCAGCTGCCTGACTTTCATTTTGGGATTTAAAATTATTTCAAATGCTGGAATCGGGCCTCTGACTAGTTTCAGACTGCAGCTGGGTTGTTTCCTGAAATGATCCATTGTGATGTTCAATATTACAGTGGTCCTGGGGTCCTTGTGGTTGCCCCTATATCTGAATCTAGGAACTTCTTTAACTTTCAGCATGAGGGCAATGGCAGGGACACCTTGACTTTCATGCTTAGTTTCAAACAGTCTGGACCCCAAATCTCCATCATTGTTATCTCTGACTGTTAATGGACTAACTTCACATAACATAGTCATGATTACTGGATGTTCTCTGCTTTTGTTTAATGTGATGAATAATTATTTCTGTCATTTATCTGTGTGAAAGGTTCTGGCCATGGCTACACAAGGGAAATCATATTTAAAAAGCCTGGAGGCTGAAAGTGTCATATGTATATGACTTGGTAAGATCTGATTTCACTGTTTTGGCGTCAACGGCAGATTGCACGTTCATCGACACCCCTGTTTTTCTCAGCCAATTGAGCATTTCAACTGATTTGAGATGTCTTTTTTGGGTGACAAGGACAGAAATTTGAAAAGAAATTGCAGTTTGCCATTTTGAACCCTAAATTGAATTCTGTTGGCCAGAATTGCTGTGTTTCTGCAGTGTTGGCATCAAGTACTGTTGTTGAGCATAGCCCAGCCCAGTAGTGCATCGTGGGTAAGGAAGTGACCATTCAGCATTGTGCTTTG